TCTGATGGCAAAAAAGTGTGTTCTAATATTTCCCAAAGCCGGGGCCCGGTTCGGTGGGGCACTGCTATAGGGCCCCGCTTGGGAGCGTGGCGGCGCTCCCGCCGAGGGTTCGGATCCCATATACAGACCGGTTCCCGCTCACTGGCTGAGCGAGGTGCGGGCACAACACCGAGGGTTGCGATCCCGTTGCCGGTCCGGTCCGGTACGGGCGTGACACTGAGGGTTGCAATCCATTGCCAGACACGAAAAAAGACAAAAAGGAAAAAAAAAAATTATTCTACACCTAATAAAATACAGGTTGAGAGTGAAATTTTTCATAGAGTCCTTGAGTATGGGACAGTGTTTAACAGATGCCTACTGTGTGCCAAGCACTCAAGAAAGTGCTAAAGATTCAGCATTGAATACAGCATTTGTTGAATTTCCATTTTGAGCATTTATTGATTTTCTTTTTTGGTTTTATTTAGGATATGATGTTCCAGCTTCTCCGAGGTCTGGACTTTCTTCATTCTCACCGAGTAGTGCATCGCGATCTAAAACCACAGAATATTCTGGTGACCAGCAGTGGACAAATCAAACTGGCTGACTTCGGCCTTGCCCGCATCTACAGCTTTCAGATGGCTCTTACCTCAGTGGTAAGTAAGAGAGTGCTGCCCTTTCATTAAACTTATTTTTCCTCTTTTGAATGACAAACTGCTCTCCTTCCATGCCCCTGATGTTATTACTGCCCGTGGTTAGGTGGTAGACAGTATGTCTTTGCACTTTTTTATATAGAAGTGGGTAGGAAGAAAGCATTCTGCTTACAAACTACAGATACATCCGGTCTGGGCTTGTTGTGGACAGGACCCATTGCAGAAATAGCCTGTTGCATCTTAGCCACTAGAAAGAAATCAGTTACAAGTTTCCAAGTGCTTCTTGCCATAACCACTATTTTCAGAGCTGCATATTTACTGCCTGGGGAACACACAGCTCAAGATCAGGGAAGAGCGAGTGCTAGGAACGCTGACCTGCCTGCAGCATCCTGGTTTGAGAAACAGATAGAGTGCCTGCACAGGTGTGTTAAAGCACTCCTCTGAAGCTGTGGTGCTGGCCGTGAAGAAGAAATTAAGTTTATAATGAACTTGAATGACCCGTGAACGAGTAGCACCACCCTTCCTGATAGAGACTTCATCCAAGCCAGGATAGAAAGAGTGAAACTGAGGGCCCTGTTTTGGCAAAGAATGACAATTGTGATATCCTGTTCTATATATCATTCATATGCAAAACCATAATAGCTATTGTGTTTGGTTAGCTTCTATTTCTCCTTATAGTTCATTGTTTCTGAGATGAGTTTTTGTGAAATTCTGCACCCAAAATATAAAAAGAGCATCCTGGAAATAGGTATTAATACCCTTCTCTTTGAAAGATCATTTTTACGTACAGTGAATTCATGCCTTACATACAGCCTTAAGAAATTAAACCTTAAGAAAAAGAATCTATGTAGTCTATCTTTAGCCTCAAAGTGGTTCTCAAATCAGAGACAGTACTGCCCTGGGTGAGAGGCATTGTTGAGAAATGATTGGCAGCATGTTTGGTTATCACAATGACTTGAGGGGTGGGGTGGCTGCTACTGGCATTTAGTATAAGTGCTTTGAGGAGGCTCACATTCTGCCCCCCCCAAAAAAAATTTTTTCCCCTAAATTCCCATAATGCTTCAGCTGAGAAGTAGAAATTTGGAGGAGGAGTTGGAAATTCTCTGAGACAGATAACTTGCCTTAGGAGAAAATGCAATTTTAAAAAGTGCCCCCTCTTCCCCATTTAAAATATGAATCCTACAACCTGGAAATATAAGACCACTCACTTTCCCAACATTATATAGGACATTGGAATTTTTAGAGAGGATTCCTTAGTATATGTTGCTGTCATTAAAAGATAAACCCTCCTTGTTTCCTCTTTGCTCAGAAAACACCATTGCTTTCAGGAAGACAAGGCACCAGTTATGTTTAAAGGATAGGTCTCAGCTTTGGGTGGAGTCAAGCAGGCCCTTGTGTACTTACATAATCACACCAGAAAGGGCTGAGTCTGTGTGTTTCCCCAGTGGGAAGGGTGAGGTAGGCTTCAGGCTTCCCTAGGAAGTTGTTGCGCTGGTTGTTTTGGGGCCCTGGGGAGAAGCTTGAATAGGCTTTGTGATCCGGAGAGTCATCAGGGGAGCAGATGGAAGGAACTTGTCTCCTTGGGTACATTAATTGAGAGAAGGGGGAGCTGTAACCGAGACGGACACTCCATTTTAATTCCCTGAAATGGGCACTAATAGCCATAAATAAAAACAGAAAACCCAGTTGGTTTTGTTTTGCTTTTTTTGCTTATTGAATTTGAGGAATGATAGCACAGCTTGTGTGTACCATCAATTAACATTCCATTCTTGCTGAAAGTTGATATGTTCAAACAGGAAAATGTAGACATCTTATTTCATATATAGAGAGGAAAGGCAATCGTAAATATCTCATTTTTCAGTATCTAGTTTGTATTGCATGCTCTTTATTTCCTCTGGTGACATAAGTAAAAAATGTCAACAGCTGGGAAAGACTCTAGAACTAATTCAGACTTTATTTGAAAGAGCAATAGTTGGAATTTAATGACAATTATTATTGTGTGTGTTATTATTATTGGGTGTATGTCCAATAAGGTACTACATTTAAAAATTTTCACACTGTTTTATATTTTTCTTCTTAAACGAAAAATCTCTCTATAGTGATGCATTGACTTACATACACATATGATTGACATATAAAGACTTGGAATCACGGTTTGTTAAGCTGACCTGGTATGTACTTTTATTATCTCTTGAAGAGAAAAAGACTACACTTCACTTCCTGGAAATACACATTTTTTAGTGGGTTATGTCATACAGGAACTGCAAATCAACTTAATTTGTGGAATGTTAAAGGAATTACAAGTTAAGTGATTCGAAACTGATATTTTACAGCCATGAGAAGTGCTAATATATTACTTTTCTTCCAAAGCCTGACTCAAATGTCCCCTTCTGATACCCCTTGCACAAATTAATTCCTCCTTCCTCCTCCCTCAGTGTTTCCAGAGTAATAGCTTATGAACGTCTTTGGTAATACTATTTTCTATCTCGTTTGTAGTTCTTTTGGACTTTTATTTATCATGCCTAAGTTCCTTAAAGGTAGAGACTGCATTTTATTCAACCCTAATGCATAGTGCCTTGTTTATTTTGATAGGCACTTGGGAAATATTTTTGAATAAATAAATTGAGAAATGCCAACAGATAGATATAAATAGTTGAATCCTAATAAAAATGGGGAAGGAGTTATTTTATAACTTTACTGGTCTCATTTGATATGTGTTTCAATATTTGTACATAGCTACCTGGTAGTATGAAGCTGAAGGACTTACACCTTAAAATGAGTCCATTTTGCACCTCACTCTTGATTGGCAGAGATCTGTGTTCAAAGTCATGAAAGCTACATGTTATATAGCTCCATCTTGTATTAGAATGAAAGGATGATTTGATCCCAAATTCATAGTTTGTGCATTGTAGTTATGGTAATCCTCTCTGCTGCCTCACAAATAAATTGTGTGTATGAATTGAACTTCCTGTCCTGAACAGAAAACTATGGAGATACAGGAATTCAGCATTATTGTAATTCTACTACTTATTTGAAGACTTTTTTTTAACCCATTGTGCTTTGGTATTAAAGCAAGCTTTAGAAGAGGAATTATTTCTTCTAAGATAATTAACATTCTCCTAATGAAAGAATGGGTGAATTAATAGACAGCTTTTTCTTTCTGTCTGTCAATGTTGATATATGTGTATTTACATAATATGTTTCTATTTAGACCATTGACAATAGCTTGTATTCCTAACTTCTTACTGAAAACTTCAAAATGTTCTCACATATAACCTAGACCTTTAAGGGAGCGGTTAGCAGTATTTATTCCCATTACAAGATCATCACCTTATAGATCCTGGACTGCTCTCCATAATTTCTAAAGCAGTATGCTCTGTGCTAGTATTGAAGAAAAGGCATCTTTTCTGTATTAATTGATAAATTAACTGTTCTAGACAGATGAGCTTTATAGTCATCTTACGGTATAACTCTGGTCCGTATTATTTTCAATTTTCTTTAATGAAAACGAGTTTTCATTACTCTTTTCATAAGTGGAATATACTCAATATGTTGGCCTTTTGGTAGAAATTAATTTAAAACAATCATTATAAGTCTGGACTATAGTTGTACTCTAGGTAGTATGCAACATTGGACCAAATGACTTAGCTTGTTCCCATTTGATAAGATGGGGACTAATCTAAAGAGCAAAGTGCCCTTTAGACACCTAACTTTACTGTGCTGCCTCCAGCATCACACTCAGGTGTCTTTAGGGGGTATTGGGTTCTTGCTGCTCAATATATAGTCATGCGTGCACATGTACCTATGCAGAGTAAGGGTTGTTTATACCTATTTCTTTAAAGGTTGTAGGATTAAAACATGGATGATGACAGTGTATGCTTGAGACCTAGGCAAGAGGGGTCACGAGCCTGGTCTCATGCTTTAGAGGAGCCTGCGATGGCCCTGCTCCAGCCATATCTCCCATCATGGGGCGCAAAACCCAGGGTGCCAATGAGACATGCCCTCTAAGACCCCCACCCTATACCACACTCAAGACATTTGGATGCCCTGACTAAATGGGAACTGCATGGGCTCATCCTTCCTCCTAAACAGATTTCACCACTTCTGTGTTCCTTCTAAACTCAGGGGCACCTATTTGCAGACATATGGGCAGAGCATGGACATGCGGACTGGAGTATCCTCGAGCGTGTGTGTTAGGCCCTTTGTGATGCAAGGAGAAGGTAGAAATGTGAAGAGAAGAGGGCCTGTTATACATAGCACCTGACGTGGGTTATTTTTATCAGAAAAGTTTCTCTGAAACCATGAAAAATCAACTTATGTGACCTGTTTTAACTGTTAACATTTGTGGAAAACCAGAGAGAACAGGGCACAGGGAGGTTCTGTCCATTGCACAGTAGTGATATGTAAGAATTGTAACTCGTATGATCTCCGTAGCAGAAGTGTTTCAAAAATATACACGTAGTCAAGAGAATGATTGTAAAGGCTAGCTAAAATTAGAGTCACTCTAAAGTCAACATTTCTATGTACTTCGCATGTGAAGTGTAGTGTATGGTACAACTCATTTTTGTGTCTCAAAAGAAGGGAAATAGAGACCAAACGCTTGGCCCACAGTTTTAGTTCTACCTGATTGTGTACCTGGGTCTGACAGAGAGAGTTTCAGAGCAGAGCCTGGGACATCACCAGCAGCCCCAGTGAGGACTCTGATAATCATGAAGCACTAGGACCAGCAGCTTGAGAGGCAGCAGTCTTCACCTCTATTTATGATGTGATTGGTTTTTTCCTAAACTTTATACAGCATGCAGGGTGATACTGTTGCCATTGAATTTGGTGGTTGGGGCACTCTTTATCAACCATCTTATTTTGAAAGTGGGGAAACTGAAACTCAAACAGGCAGTTGTGACCAGATTAAGTCTGAATTCACCAAATGGATTATAAATGGTTGAAAGACTTCTAATGTTTATATTCTGGCTCTTGCCCATGATCCCCACTCCCCCTTTTTCCCC